ATTGGCAGCTCTTGGGTGGGGACTGGGGGAAGGTGAGAAGGACTGTTACTTTTTTTCAGTGGTATTATTGTAATATTCTCTTTGTATTCAATGTTCTTATATTTAGTCTTTCTGTAGTAACCTGTATAGTCATAAAGAACTAGTATAGAATGGTGAACTTTTGTATTTTTTCATATGTGATGGGTTTATTTAAATGTGGTAATTATTATTATTTTGTAGAGAGACAGGATGAAATTTAATCGGTTCAATTTATTCCCTGTGGAAATGGAGCCTTGAGTCTGCAAGAATTTTTTTCCATTTTGATACAGTAGTACGCTTTAGTTCAGGTCTAATATCTATTAAATAAACCACTTATTTATGTATCTGAACTTCTTTCCAATCCCTCTCACTTCCAGTTCATTTCAGAACCTGAAACCTGACCTTTTATTTGAAGTGATTTATGTTAGAATTTTTTTTAAATAGACTTTAGGCTTTCATTTCCTTTTGGTTTTATGAATAATAGCACGACGTCTAATGACCTTGTTTCATTTAGTTTTGACTTTAATCATGTCTCCTTGTATTTGCTTTCTATCATAAACCTCTTTGGGGTGTTGTTTGATTTGGTATCATATAGCACTATATGAATGTTAACAGAACTAAGATATAAAATACTATATAATTATTCCATCGCACATGAAACTTTTAGACCTTATCTAGACCCATGGGGAAAAACTTGGCAGAAAGCCACCAAAGACAATTTTTTTTCATTGCTTGTGGTTACATTTTCTACTATAATTGCTGCTGAAACCTGAACACCTGGGAGTTTAATTGCTCATTATAGTTAAGTCTTTGCAGTGTCATGGACCAAAAAAATACAACTGTCCTATGCAATATATTTATGATATTAATCTAGCCTTTATTGATATATACAGTACAGTGAGTTTTATCCTTTTTTTCCCTTTTAGACTTCTGAATTTACAATTCATCCTGATCATGGTTTGTCAAAGTTGTGGCATTTGCCAGTGCTGTAGTGAAGAGCATGATTAGACTTGCATTAGAACTTCCTGTTTTCATATGTTCATAACTTTTTGAAAAACTCTTTTTTGTTGGCTGAAATTTTTTACGCTTGGTCTCAGCCAAAAGCTGACTTTAATTTTTATTTACTTATATCTTTGGAATCATTGGTAACGAGTGACCATTGGGCAGGTGTTCGTTTTCCATTTTTGTGGGGAAGCAACAGCCTGCTGCTGCTACTTCTGCCCATATACTGCAGTAGTGGCCTTGCAGCAGTTTCACCCCAGCTATTGCAGACCGAGGATTCCGTTTCTGATCCCCACATACAAGTGGATAAGATTCCTTGGGTTGAGTGTCCTTTTCCTTTTCCGAGTACTTCACGGATATCCAGAAAATTCAAGGCCTTGAACAAAATTACTTTGATTATTGAATCCCACTAATTAGGAATGATAGTTGCAAACCATACACAATTGCCATTCTCCCCTGAAAAGGTATTTTTAAATAGCTGTGAGAGCTGGTGGTGAAAGTCATATCTGAGCTTGACTGATCAACAAGGTCTTATGCTTTTATGTGTTTGCAAGGGGTGCTGAAAGGCTTTATGTATGATCACAATAAAAGACTGTACTTGTCTTGTGGGACAGTGATATCCTTTCAGAAATGGTTAAAGAAATCAAGTGTCCATGCTGATTCTTGTATACACCATAAAGGTGCACCTGAATACCTTGATAGGTGTGGATGGAGTGGGTCCATTCTGTTTTCTCTCAGAGGATTGGATGATTGCTCTGCTGACCCTAGGGCTCACTCCTGAGGTGTACTGCTGTGTCCACTCACATGTGTGAAAAACCACGGGCGGGATAATTAAGTGGTATGGGATGCTTGTCCTAGTTCACACATGTGTCTCTAGTTCATCTGCTTTGCATGATGAAGTTGATGGCTCTTCCAGTGTCTAGCCAAGATTGGGCCTTGGATGAGAGCTAGTTGGCTGCAGTTCAAACTGGGAAAGGCAAAGGTAATGTTGGTTGAAAGCAATTGATGGAAATGACAGGAGTAAGATCTTCTGTCTCAAAAAAAGGAGATTGCATTTATTGGTCTAGCTTTGTAAATTGGGTGCCTTGTTGATTCCTTGGCTACTCTTGCATGTCAAGGGGGATTATTCGTTAGCCCGTTCCTAGGCTAGAAGATTGCAGACTTTTCTTTGAATGTGGATTTACCACCTTTGTTACTCTCCAACTAAATAAACGTAATGTGCTCTACATAGACCATGAGGAAAAGTTGGCTAGAGCAGACTCTGGTGGTACTTAGCAGTGCTTTCCACTTGGAATCTATGGAGCACTGTTGGTAATGTATTCCAGTTTGTTTACAGGTGCAATTGAAAGGGGGCTGATTTTGCTCTGTAAAATCCTGTATGATTTTCCTGTGTCTCTCTCCTCATATTTTATACCCACAATATTCCAGCTCATGGTTCCTAGATGGTGTCCAACTATGGCTGGAAGTACGGTGTTCTCAATGAAGGGCCCTGTGCTCTTGAACTTATCTTCCTCCTTCACTTTTGAGCAACAGAGCTTTGGCTGTTGAGTTTGGCATGCCCCAAATCCCGTCTCTTACCCCAGTTTTTTTGGAGGAGTAGAAAGTCTGATTTCATTTGGTTGTGAAGAAGCATTTAGTGTTGAGTAGACCTGGAGAAAATGTGTTGCCCAAAACTTTGGTTGGCAAATAATGCAGATTTGGGTCACATGAAAAATGTCATGAATTTGTGTACATATAGCAAAAATGTTTAATTAAAAACAAACAAACAAAAGTTTAAAAAAAATTAAAAATGAAAAGATTGTGTTTTGTCATTTTTGAAATAGCATTTAGATTCTTTGATTTGAAATAGCTTTTTGTGTTGAAATTTCCTTTAGGTTTTTTAAAAATAAATATAAATGTCAAAATCAGAACAAAACATTTTGGTTCAGGTCAAAATAAATGTTTTATTTGACCCAAAATAAATTGCGTTTACTACTTGGTTTTCTGAAAAGTGTATTTGTGTGTGTGTATGTGTGTTTCAGAATTGCCAGCAAAACCAAAAAAAAAAAAAATCAGTTATTCACACAGCTTTGTTTGGGGGTTATGGTGGATCAGGAGCGCTTATATGGAATCACCATCATTGAAGGTTTTTAAGTACAGGTTGCACGAACATCTGACAGGGATAGTCTGGGATTCTTAATCTTGCCACAGCCCTGGGGGATAGACTAGAAGACCTCTTGAGGTTCCTTCAGCCTTACATTTCTATGAAATACTGGCATTGCCAAATTGAATTTCTCAGATGTATTTTATAGAATTGACCTGTCCGTATATGAGTTTACAGCCCAAAGAACAATGCACACAAATCTAAATAAATAAATATTTTCTTGTAGGGCTAAATTCTGCTTGCCTTACTGACTTAAACTGAGAGTACTGACTTGAGTACTCTCGTTGACCAACTGAGTGTGGTGAGAAGGATTTTACCATACAAAGGAGTACTGATTGTACTGCATGTGAGGAAAAAACTTAATCCAATGGCCATCTTGGTAGTATGGTAGCATGTAGTGGTTTTTAAATGGCATTTAAAAAAAGAGATGACATGGAGAAAGTTCCTTACTCATGTAAGTTTATTTCGAATTATTTTTACTGATTTGAATTTTTTTATTGCATGTACAGTAAGTTGTTTAATAGTATGTATTAATTTCTGTAGCATTAGTTCAAAGTAAAAGACTAATTTTGATATTAGCTGGACAAGCTGATAAGACCTTTTAATAAAGTTACATACAGAAGCCTGAATAGTATTTTTTTTCTTTCATGCAAGATATATATAATAATTGTGATAGCCATAGATTGGATATAATTATGAAAATGTAAAATGTGTTGACAGAAGAGAAGGGTATATTACATTCATATGTTCCATTTGTCCTTTTTTATCTTTTAAGATGTGCACTGTAAAATTCATCTATATATTATAAATAATGATAAACTACATGTAAAATAAGAATAAAATGTAAATAATTAAATTCAAAATGTGAATTATTTTGTGTAAGCTGAATTTTGATTCTGATAAACATTGTTACTTTAGCAATTATAAGTGTGGAATGAAAATAGTAATTGAATAATAGTAATAATATTTGTGTTGTATTTCTCTAAAACTCAATATTATGCCTCCCAAAAGGTACTCACTTTGCAAAGTTAAAAATGACTTCAGAAGGTACATAGCAATAGAGAATCAGGCCTGTTGTTTCAATAGGAATTTGTAGAGGAAAAAAGGGGCAGCACTCTGAATAGTGGAGCTTGCTATATGTTTGCTAAGAATTAACAGATTACATAAGGAGAAGCCTATTTTGGTATAATTTAAAAAAAATATTTTCACAAAAATGCTAATTTCATTTTAATGAAATGGAAATACTACAGTCTTTTCATTTGGAAATACTAGAGCCTTCGCTTCTTCAGTTTGGAAAAAAAAACTTAATCAGCTGTTGTGATATCTTTGTAAACAGATTATCTTAAAGTTTGCTACAACATTTTGAAACTCATAGTATTTAGGTTGATTAGTCTTTTCATGTAATATGGAATGTTTCATTTGTACAGAATTTAATGTATAGATTATGATGTCTAAATTCAGCCTATTGTAATTCTACTTTGGCACATTTGTAAGTTTGTCTGTTAGATATAACAGTAGTTTTGTAGCATTTTTTACTGCAAAAGAACACATCTGTTATTCCTTCAAAAAAATTGATATAGAAGAAAATTCTATATACCACTCTATAGAACACTGATAAAAGGATTTCCATGACAACCATATCATAAGCTTTTGTTCTTACTTTGTTACTGAATTCACAGTGTCGCTTTTAATGACTTCTATGCAATTAAAACAGAATGCATAATTTGCGTGAATATATAAACAATATAAATCAGTTATGTTTGCTCTACAGTGAATATAATTTATGATGCTAGAATGCTGCTTAAGAATCTAATGTGGATTTTTCCATTTATTGCAGAACTGTGAGATGCTAGAAAATAATTTTGATGACATCAAGCATACGACTCTTAGTGAACGTGGGGCACTTCGAGAAGCAATGAGGTAAGTCTGGGTCACCATAGCAACAGTCACAGATGTGGTAAAGAAAGAGTCATTCTTCATTATTGGGGGAACAAATGAGTTCATTGCCACCATTCAGCTCTATTCTCTAAGGTATTAATTTGTCAGTGGAGAGGCGTCCCTTGAGGCTGTACTTTGGTTTTGAAGCTGCATAAATGTTAAGCCTCACTGCACAGTAAAAAACGTAAATGTTTAATTTGTTACTTAAAATGCTTAAGGGGTACCTTGTTTTATATTTATACTGAACTGTGTGAATGAATGAAAATATTGTTCATCTAAATTGTGTAAGTGTTAAAGAAATTTGTGGTGCTTTGACTGAGCCAGTATTTGCTCCTAATTTGTATTTAACTTTCTATATATAGTGGCCCATGTACTTTCTTTTTCTATTAGACTTTAACAGGATTACATTACTGTATTTTATAAAAAAAATCAATGGTTTCCATCTTGCAAATTAAGAATAATATTTTTAACACAATACTTTATACTGTAGCTCCCTTTGTTTTATACATTCAGTATCTAGCATTATGCTTAAAACTTTTAAAAATAAATTAGAATTGCTCAATGAATGGATCTAATTCTGCCATCCTTACTCACGGATGAGTAGTGCCTTGCTCCAGGAGTAGTCCAATTAAAGCCATTTGCACTTGGCCCAAAGCAAGGTACTGCTCAGAGTGACTAAAGGTGGCAGATTTGGGTCCATGGTTTCTGAAGTATCTTTTATTTTTTGAAAACTAATTTGGCCAATTTCAGAGGTGATGTAAATGATAATGGAAGTTATGTGCCAGTAAGTGACCCTGAAAGCAGGGGCAGTAAAAGGAAAATCTTAACAGGGGCAAAAATGTGTAGCAGAGCAGACCCCACTTTATTTAACTTCTCTTTGGTATCAAACAGTGTAATTTTAAGATTGGACAACAACAACAAGTCTGAGTCTGCTTGCAAACATATGCCACCAATTCATTTGGTTAGTATTCATAATCCCTTTAAATTTACAGATATTCAGATGAGCAAGTTTTTTATCTACAGGCTTGGTCACCGTGCTCTTGCTTCCCATGAACAACAGTGTAAATAACTGTTCACAAGAGTGTTCACACATGAAATGTAATCTTGGCTGTTTTGAAAGCTCTTAATACTTGAACAACAAATCCACTTCTATCTGAATATTTTCACTTACTATTGTTCACATAACAATTGAAGTTGAAAGATTAGATAAATTATTTTTGGTTTTTCATTTTCTTTACTTCATGCATTTGAGAGCAGTCTGTGTGTAGTAATGTTTGGTCTTGCTTCTGTATATCCAGTCTGTTTCCTCTGTTTGTGTGAGTCTTCCACACTGCAACAGGAGAGAGAAAACAATAGTAAACATAGAAAAGTGATTTGGGGGCAGATGTGGCATGTGAAACTACTTTTAAACACTTTCTTTTAAACAGACTAGATTTTAAGAAGACGGTCTGTTTCTAACAGTCGGTGTTACAACATTTCACAGTTACAGTGGCAGCATTTTGTGCCATGTGGCTCACCAAAGTTTACTGTTAGATTTTGCTACATGCTTTCTCTGGTGGTCAAAATTCTATGGCTAATGGAATGACAGAATTTCAAAGGCTGTATTCCTGATACAAGGGGCTGTTTTGGAGGTGTATGTTGTTCTATATGCTAGGTTCGCTTAGAAGCACCAAAGTGGTTTAAGACTTGTCACAAACTTCCTTTTCAGCTATCTCATCTCTTAGTGGACAAATGCCTTTTGTTCCACTGAGAGGTGTGACACACATCATATAATATTGCAATCCTCTTTTTCATCTGATAAGCAGCTTTCATTCAGCTGAATTTTCTTGTGTTAATTAATTAAATAAACCAGTTCTAACTTGTATTAGCAAGTTTCACTTGATTATACTTTAATAACTTCATATAACACAGAGATAAGTCCTCATATCTGTTTGCACAAGTGAATAAACTGTATATATGGATGAACATTCATTGTTCTAGGGCATCACAGTTTTCAGAAGTGCCACAAAGCCACACATGTCCCTGAATGCTTAATTTTCTTTTCCGATAAACCTGAGAAGTGTGTAAAATGACAAGTAGAGAGTTCTGTATTGACAATCCTCTTGCACACCGTTTATTCCAGCAAGTACTTTGGAGGAAAAAATCTTGTGCCTGGAAATGTGGCACAGTCGCATGTTGTTTTTGATGGGAGTATCCAAATAACTTGCTCCATAGGGCTAAAACTTCTCATGGTTTTGAGAACCACCCCTGTTTTGGGGTAATTGAGTATCTTGCCTGATCACACACCAAGTGAAGCCAATGGCAAAGCTTCTATTGACTTCAGTGGTACAGGATCAAACTCCATGAGCAAATTAGTCATGTATAATTATGCTTCCAAGTACATAAAAGGTCATTACAAGAAGGAGGGAGGAAAATTGTTCTTCTTAACCCCTGAGGATAGGACAAGAAGCAAATGGCTTAAGTTGCAGCAAGGATGGTTTAGGTTGGACATTCCTAACTGTCAGGGTGGTTAACCACTGGAATAAATTGCCTAGGGAGGTTGGGAATCTCCGTCATTGGAGATTTTTAAGAGCAGGTTAGATAAACACCTATCAGGGCTAAATATTATCTAGACCATTTCGGCCATGAGTGCAGGGGACTGGACTAGATAACCTCTTGAGGTCCCTTCCAGTCCTATGATTCTATGCTAATACATCTTTGAAGGTCAGATCAGTGGAAAGACTCCTATTGACATCTAAGGACTTAAAATCAGGCCCTGAGAGAACAAAGATATATTCTGGCAAAGCTATTGTATATTTCTGAGTGGCTGCTGAGTGGATGATACAACTCAGATCCTCAAATACATGTGTGATTGCATGTTTGGGAAAAGTGTGTAGAGAGGGGTTACACAGAGAGACTCAAATTGTGTAGTCATGGTAAAACCAACCAATTGATAAACCTAGTCAGATAGTTAGGTAGATCTCAGATGAGCCCTAAGTTTAGTGGGAAGGCTGCTCAAATTTATTCTGATTTGCCAGAGTGTCACTGCTGCTGTACCAGATAAGAGCCACAAATGAACGTTTCTCTCCAGTGACCTAGTTTGGAACAAGACTTCCCATTTTATCTTTCTTTTGTGGGGGAAAAAACCACTCAATTTAACATAGGTTTAAACATGCTCCTAGAATATGAATATCACTGTACTTCTGTATAAAAAGGGTCTTCTGTCTTCTTCTCTTTGATTCCTGTCCGTCAGCTCAGAAGAGACGATGGGACTGAATGAAGTGTTTCCCGTATTTCTGTCTTGTACCAGCTCTGTGGCTTAGTTAATCCTTAAACCTTTTTATTCTATGTCATTCTCTACCATGTCAATCCAATACATCATTGGTCTTCCTGTCTTCTAGGTCCTTGCATTTTGATATGTATTGTCAGGTATGGTATCTTTTCCAGGTCCATTCTTGACACAAATCCAAGCTATCACAATCATCTGTTTTGGATTGTCTGTAACAGCTATCTTCTCATTTCCTTTTTTATGTTTTGCTTTCTTGAAACTCAGTATTTCCCTCAGCCACTTCATTTTGCAGCCAATATAGTTCGTTCATCAGCTTTCTTCATAGTCCAACATTCCGACCTGTCTGAGCAGCAGACAGTTGTCTCAGATATGCTGATTTTCATTTTTATTGAAATGTCTTGAGTCTTCCAGACCTTGCATAGTTTTTCAAATGCAATACCAGCAAGTCTGGTAGTTCTTTTATGTCATCTTCACAATTCCCATTCTTCTGTATACAGTCCTCCAATGTACGCAAATGTTTCCACTTGTTCTAGTTCTTTGTCTCCAAGTTGGATCTTTACGTCTTCCTCTTATCTTGCAGTTGCAATAATTATTGTCTTCTCTGTAGTGATCTTCATTCCAAATTTTCCACTTTCCTGATCTACTTTGTCAGTTATTCTCTGTAAATCCTCCTTGGTCAATGCTGTGAGCTCAGTATCATCTGTGAATCTAAGTTTATCCACTCTCCGCCCACATAACATGACTCTTCCTGTTTCATCGATCAGTGCTACAGCCATTATGGCTTCCAATACCAAGTTGAACAAATCTGGCAATAACATGCATCCTTGTCTTCAATGGTCATTGTGAACCATTCTTTTAGCTTCTTGAATATTCTCACCACCCTCATCAACTTGCTATAGATGTTTTCTAACAGCGTGGTCAATTTCTCCAGGTTGCCAAAACCCTTTTCTGTCAAATGCTATTAAAAGCCTGTTTGAAACCTGTGAAGTAGTAACAGGTTTAGTTGTGTTCCATGTACTTTTCCAATATCTGTCTTATCACAAATAATTGATGTATTGTATTTCATCCTGATTCAAGCCTGTTCCTCTGCAAGCACCACTTCCATGTACCTCATCATTCTCCTCTGGAACATCTTAGTGAATGCTTTTTCTGACATGCTCAATAAGCTGATTCATCTGTAGTTTTTCTTATCTCCTTTTTTGTAGATCAGTACTATTATTGCTTTCCCCCATTCGCTCAGCACTTGCTCTTGTTTGTAAATCTTGTTAAATAGCTTGCGGATCTGTGTGTTTCTGGCAGCTCTGCAGTTATGTTGTCACTTCCCTTTTTCTTTTTAAAACTTTCTGTTGAGATCTTTACTACTTAGAATTCTAATATCTGTTCTCCCACATTTGTACTGGGAAGCTTTTCCAGAACTGTTTATTTAATGTGTTCTGCACATTGTACAGCTCTTCAAAATGTTTTTTGATCACTTATTCTTTGGTTGTTCATCCTCAATTATTTGCCCCTGTTTTTCACTGCCAACATTTTCAACTCATATGCCCCACTTAGTTCTCTTATCTTGCGATAAAACACCCGTGTTGCATTTTTCTTCACATATTCTTCCTCTTCTTTTACATTGTTTGCTTGTTCAATTGTTTCTGTCACTCTTTTGATTTGATCTCTCTGGTCCCTACACTGGGACAGGACAGACATTGTGACATACTGACTTGCA